CCCCCCCCCCCCCCCCCCCCAAAAAAAAAAAAAAAAAAAAAAATTGGCGCAAAGCTTCTTCCATCTTAATAAATTACCATAACTCCCCGAAGCACTTCGTCTTACGTTCGAGGGAAGTGCGCTTAATTAGTTAGCGGAAAGACTCATTTAAGTGACATCAGGGCGAATCGACTCCGACGCTTCTTTTTGATGACCCTCCTTTCCATCGCTCTTTAAAAGGCGCCAGTTGCCTAAGCCATTTTACAGATTTCTTCTGTCGATTCCAGTCGCCTCAGCCAACGCAGCATTTAATCAGCATTTAATTGACGATATAATAAATGCTGAAGTTCGACATTTGACGCTACGTGGAACGGTCGCTGAAGCTGTTAAATCCAGGAAGCTTCCATTGAAAGTAAAATGCTCGAGTCCTAAAACCTAAAAAAAAAAAAGATAAAAGGCTTGGAGGCCTTCTTCGTGCCGGCTTCTATCTAGATGAAGTTGGAACTCGATTACGCCCTCGCTCAAGATTGCACGAAGCTCGCGAGCAGAAGTCGCGGAGAATCGACATGGATTATTTACAACGGTTTCCTTCCTCTCGGCCGTTCGCTTTTTCTTCTTCCTGTCCTAATGAAAAAATGAAAATATCGCATCGACTCCGAAGGAAAAAGTTCCATTTTTGCCCCTCAGAGAGAATGGAATGAAGTTGCAACACATTTTTTTCCACCTTCGGTAACTGTTCGCGCATCAACATCAATCTATTTACTTTCCCATCGCAAATCCCATTGTAAATGGAATCCCATTGTAAATGCAGACAGATAAATGATTGATCGATGGACTCGGCTCGACACCATCAAGCGATCCTTCAGGATTTCCAGCATTTGCTCCGATGCGGAATGCGTCAAATATTAAAAGCGCTCAAAATTGAAGACAGATCGACCCAGAACAAAAACTAACGACGCCAGTTCGACGCTCAAGTACGCCTTTTTCAGGTCGCACATACTGGTCGAGTACTGAAGTACTAAAAAGCAATTAACACCAGTGACATACTTAAAACGAAACCTATTTGATTTATTAAATAGAAGAGAAACCATTGCATTCGTCTCGTATTGAGGATCTGACGTCTGAGGATCTGACGTCATCACAAGTACTGACTGTAGTCCTAAAAAAAGAGTACTAGCTGTCCGAGTCACTCAGACCGGCAGATAACATGAATTTTCGAATGAAAAATGTTCGCCTCAAGTGAAATCAATTTCTCTCGTACATAAAAGATAATCGATAAGGTGACCGAGCGGGGGAAGTTGGTATGATTAACTTATTTTTTTAATTTTGAAAGTCTTGAAATCCCGAAAGTTATCAATTTTCAGAACAAAGTGGACCAAGGAAAGGAACGAAAACTTCCGAACTCAAAAATCAGCGTTAGAATATGCTTTAATCACTTGCGAATAATGATTGAATGGAATGGCTGCGGAGGAGATTCCCTTCGCCGAAAACCAGGCAGATGTGGCATGGCTTCATCTCGGATTTCGCTTCTTCCTCGTAACGGGAACGACCTGAGTTAACGGGAATGCAAGAACGTCTTCTCGATTATGAATGCTCTTGAATATCGGCGAAGTCTCTCGTCTTATCGTGAAGACGATCCCTTCGCGCCCGATTTTAATTACTTTAATGGGTGCACTATCTATGCATATCTCTTGCATAGAGGTGAACGGAGAGGAAATTGAGGTCTGATAGAGAAAAGGATTTTCATGCTTGCCGCATCATCATCTGCTTTTCAAGGCCACTATTTCAAGAATTCACGATTAGTCATTCTCTTCCGACAGCTTAAAAAATTAACCAATCCTTCGCAGATATTCCTGACAGTTTCGCCTACGATCCTTACGACCCCGAAGTATTTTTGCGTTCGCGACCCCAACCTGTTTTTTACCGAAAGGTTTTGGCTTACTTGTTTTCTTCCGAACGATAAAAACATCTGTCTCATAGAAAAACTAACGTACAAGGACTTGCGTTCGCCTGTGTTTGTATACGTACCCTTGATTATCGAATGAAGTGAGAGGAAATGCGGAAATCGGCATGAGAAACCCTTTTGAACGAGGGAGCCCAATCAGCCTTCACGGACGAGCTCTGTTTGCTCGGAAAATAAATACATTCGGACGAATGAATGTACCCAGTGCTGCGAACACCGAGACTCCCGATCTCGGGTTTCGAGGGCATAAACTCGAGCCATTTGTGTATGGCGATCGATACGTATAAGGGAGGGAGAAACCCGATCGAGGAGGCCGTGTTATGGATTTGCGTAAAATGAAAAAGTACGGCCGGACTCTATCCAGTGCCGGTCGTTGCACAAATGTCGTCACCCGGCGCTCGTGTCCCAGGCAGGAGTCGATGCGAGTCACTCTCGCTTGTGCGTCGGACGATCGAATTCGCGTGAAACGGCGTGTAACGTGTGTCTTGTGTATCTTGAGTCGTGTCGATGTGTATCGTGCATCGTGCATCGTGTATCATGGGAGGGAGGGACATCGAGGGAAAGGCAGTGGCGTATTTTACAGGAGCAGGGGGGGGAGGGGGCTGGCGTCCTTCAATGTGCCCATTGCCTCTCGTTCCGTATATTTCGCCCCTCAGAACATATGCTCAGCACTAACCCCACCCCTGCCTTTGGTAGTCCCATTTTTGCTACCTTGATTCCATGGTTCATGTGCCAAAATACACCACTGAGGAAAGGTCCCATAATTTTTATGTTCGTAGATGATCTTGACATTTTCCATCCTGTCTCTTCCGTTTCCATATCGAAAAAAGCACATATGAAAATGTCTACAGGAGCAAGACGTTATGATGTTATCGTTTTGATAATTAAAGAACATTCTCTTCTCACTGGAGAGCCAAGACTCTCAGCTTCCTGGTGCTCAGTCGAACATTCCTCAAATCTCATTCTGCAGTTCGAAAAGAAGCGAATTCTCGCCCTCCTGAAATTGCTCGATATTTTCGCCCTTTTTGTCAGATCATTCGCGATATGATGATTTAAAACGACAGCTATGTCAAGAGAATGAAAGTTCTCTCGGGTGAAGAAGAGAACACGTCCGTCAAGATCCATTCTAGGGAATTCATAAAAACCCAGCAAGGCATTGAATTCGAATAGAACTCTCATTTTGTCAAATGCGTGCATCAAAAGAGGTTCATCGAGTTTCCGCCCAGTCTGAACGACAACGTTAACGACGTTAGAGGATGCTGATACTGATCGTCAACATTGACGCAATGTTGAAAATATAAACATTGCAAGGACATTGTTCGGTCAACATTAGGTCAACATTGAGACATTCGACGTTGAGCGAGACATTCGAACAAAGGTGGTTTCCTGATCCCGATGTGAGATGGCGACATTTCGCCAACACAGGGAGTTACCTCATATTTGCAACTGGCACATGTCCCCAGTACTTTTGGAACGGTACTTGATATTTTCTCCACAGACGGCACTAGGGAAGGTATTTGAATTTCAAGATACATTTGACGAAAGAGTCAACCCAATGAGATCCAGAGTAATTCTGGTCCGGGGAACGGAGAGAACAAAGTCACGTGTTGATATGACTTCATGAAACCACTCTTCAGAATTCGCGTGGGAAGATCCATGGAGTGATGGACAGCCATCTCTCTTGTACTTGTTCCAATCACTCTTCTGTCTCTATCCTTCCGTAAGACTGGGATGTCCTTGTCTGATCGCGGCAGAGAGTTTATATTGAGATGGGAGAAAGGGTTGAGATCACGGTGATGATTCACGGAATACTTCGGTAAGCAAATGTCGCATGAATATTATATTATATCCGCGTGTGCCATTTGATTGGCGCTTGCGCAATGCATGTTGCGAAATTGTTGAGACCTGTCCTCATTTCAGCATTGAGGCAATGTTGATTCAATGTGGTGATGAATGTTCTTCAACATTGACTCAACATTGAGGATGTTGAGACTTCAATGCTGTTACAACGTTACCCATATCTGCCCATCCATATAGATGGATGGGCAGATTTGGGCGGTGTTGGGGACTTTCGGTGCTAAGGCAGTCGACAATGGTGGGAAAAAGGAGAAAACTAGGCTACTTTTATTATTAACTCTGAGAAAATCCCCCCTCCCCCAATCTGGCAGAGCCATCTATTGTTCATGCACGAAGTCCATGGAAACTTCATAGAGATCCCGTTGATGGGTTCTAAGGAGCCCTTCTACACACAAACCCACATGTGTATGGGTATCGTGGACCAGGCGCAAAGGAATTTCATCCACATCGACAATCACATGGGAAATGAACGACTCCCTTTTAGGGCTCCTTCAGGCACATAAAATCGGTTAACCCTCTCGTACAGAAATTTATAAAAACGAAACAAAAACAAATTTCTGTATACCTTTATATACCTTTATATACCTTTCCGATCGACCCTATATACATAGATATATATAGAGTAAGAGAAGTTATTTGGTGCCGAAATTGTTCGAAACTACCCAAGGGCAACAGAAAATGCCCAGCCTTTGGACCCAGAAGCTTGGGACTTAGAGATGAGAGTAAATCTCTAATCCTACTTCACACGAGTCTCAAGCCATCACATTAACTCCCACCCACGAAATAGCCCCAAATCAAAAGTTGGCACCATATTAAACTTCAATAGCCGTGTATACCATAATAGCCACAATA